AGAAATAGGAATCCAAAGATGAGAGAGCAGTGAAATACAAGGCTTAGCCCAATGCCCACAGGATGATTCCCCTAAAATCACAGGGTTGCTATAGAGGTGAATCTAATTTAGTTAAGAGATGGTGTTATTTCCACTGACTTCTGGCCTTTTCAACATGTATGCTACACCAGCTCAAAACCTCATTCTCCTCTCAGTTACTCAGGCTACGTCCTCACTACGGGGGGGCGGGGGGGGGATTTAAGATACGCAAATTCAGCTACGCGAATAGCGTAGCTGAATTCGACGTATCCAAGCCGACTTACCCCGCTGTGAGGACGGTGGCAAATCGACCTCCGCGGCGCCCCTGTCGACGGCGCTAACTCCTACCTGCACTGGTGGAGTACAAGCGTCGATTCGGGGATCGATTGTCGCGTCCCAATGAGACGCGATAATTCGATTCCCGAGAGATCGATTTCTACCCGCTGATTCAGGCGGGTAGTGAAGACGTAGCCTCAGAGTAACTCCTCAGTTACTCAGGAGTTACTTAACAGCAGTCAATGAGGTTACAATGGTGTGAAACTAATTTAGGGGGGAGGAGAGTCAGGACCTGAGCCTCCCTCAAACTTAGAAATGCATAATTACTTACACTCATTGGACCCACTCCTTCTCATTTACTGCAGCTTTACACCAGGTTTTGTCCTTTTCATCCATTCCCCTCACCTGTGAGTGGTGGTGGGGAACAAAGATTGATGATTTTCCTGGTGCTGTTGCACTGCTGCCATCCTAAGACTCCCTCCTTTCTGCAGTGTGGATAGCTCATGAGTACAGTAACTCCTCACTTAAAGTCGTCCCGGTTAACGTTGTTTTGTTGTCACGTTGCTGATCAATTAGGGAACATACTCATTTAAAGTTGTGCAATGCTCCCTTCTAACATTGTTTGGCAGTCACCTGCTTTGTCCACTGCTTGCAAGAAGAGCAGCCCGTTGCAGCTAGCTGGTGGGAGCTTGTAACCAGGGTGGACCGGCAGCCCCCGCATCAGCTCCCCTAAGTTCCCTGTGCTGCAGCCGCCCACCAGGCTATCAATTGCCCTGGGCTATCAATTGCAGCTAGAGAGATTGGCTTCCAAAGATGGACAAGACGTAAAAAAAAAAAAAAAAATCTAGGGATATAACCAAAGGCTCTGGACAGCTGACAGAAAAGCTGGTGATTGAGGGAGTAGGCAAGAGTCAGAAACTCAGAGCCTGTGGCCAGAAGCTGGAGATTATGCAGGTCTAATTCAAAGGTGTCAGTCTCCTGCCCTGTTCTTTTAAGATTTAGACCAGAATGCCAGACATCTCTTAAAATCCACTCTTCTTGTGATTTCTGCTATCATGGACTGCCTCTGAAATGGACCTGGAAAAGGGACACATTCTGATTTTGGATGTGACCCAAATCCAAAACTATTTTGGTGGTATGGGTACTGGGGGCTAACTCTGAAGTTCTGATTGAGGCTTGTCTCTAAGAAGAGCACACAGTCACAGCAAACTGGAACAAAACATCCCTTCTTAAGCCTTCTGAACATTGAGGCACTTGGCAAACTCATGCCACCAATGGGGCAGCACCAATTCACAAGCACAGATGAAGAACATAAAACATCACCTAACAACAGAGAGTTGGTAATTGACAGTAACTAAACAGCCCTGAATGCACTCTCTCACCACACATCTTCAAAATAAAACATCAGTTAGATTCCTGATATATCTTGATCTCGGAGATAAAAATCCACGCTGTAGACAGCATATTGGGCCCCATTTATTTATTTAAAAAAGCTTCTATTTTATCCTTTCAGAAATAACAACAGGTGAAAGGCTTTACATTACTACAATAAGCTATATGAAAGTGACTGGTTTTGGCTTTTGGTATGTCAAAATATCAATATTCTTCTGTAACCTTTCATTTTCCTCCAGCAATTATGTTGTCCCCCAAGGAACGTTTCATTCTTTTCCACAGATGTATTCAATGGCTCAATCTTCAAAGACACATAGCCAAATCATTTTGCCCACACAGTGTGTAATAAAAGCAAGCTTTACATGACTGCAAGAATTGCTAAAGAATGCAATAACTGTGGAGATATGTGCTTTGTATGTGCACTACTGCACACTTACTTGGTATGGGCACTGAGAAATTTAGCAATTTTGTATTGTATATTTGATACTCTTGGCTATAGCAGGGAATGACTAGCTTACTCTTGAGTAGCAACGTTTTTATTTTTCACTGTGGCGGGAACGTAAAGGTTGTTTGAATCATTATGGATCTGCCCTGAAGGCTCTCATGAGGGGCACTGTTCTCTCTCTCTTCTTGCTCAACACGTAGGTGCAGGGGGAGGGTAGCCTGGTGATATTGACTGCAGTGCCTCCGATGGAACTCAGCCTGCATCACTAGCTCATCAGACCCGGATAGTGCAGTTGACTGCCTTTAACCAATGTCTACCTGGGATTGGGGTTTACATGAGGGCCAGCTGACTGCAACTCAGACTTGACTGAGATAATTTGCCTGCCTTCTGATATCCGGGTAGCAGCGGTTGTCCTTGGCCTGGAGCCTGGGGACTCGCAGGCCTATGTAGAGGCTGCAATACATTTAAGGCCTCATGCTTTATTTATAACTATAGATGTTTTATATTTTTTTTCTGGAGTGGGGTGGATCTGTCAGGATTCCCTCATTCAGACTGAAATCCACTTCAAGACCTTCTGCCCAAGCCTTTACACAGATAAAATGTACAGGGATTCCCATATTCCCAATCAGGGACCGCTGTGTTAGACTCAACTGGCAAGGCTGCTGCCCCTCCATGTCACTGGAGTCTCACAATGACAGATTTCATTACGTCTCTATATGCCTGTCCTTATACTGCCTTATGCCAGGCTGGTACAGAGAACCAGTCTGCACTGCACATGGACAACGGATAGCCATTGTAGCGGGGTGATCACCTGCTCCTGCCCGGGACGGGTTAAAAGTAGCCCTGGGGAGGGCTGTGGCTGGGAGAAAGCAGCTACTAGGCTGATTGGGGAAGCAGCCGCAGCTGGGCCACGCCCCAATCAGGGCACAGCTGGCCCTATAAAAGGCCAGTGAACCAGGAGCTGGCAGAGTCTCCCTCTAGCAGAGGAGGGAGATGGACCTAGCTGCCCGAGTCCTAAAGGGTACTAGAGTGAAGCAGGGCTGGGGAAAGGCCAGAGGAGCAGGGGAGCTCCAGGCTGGCAACTCCTCAGGCTGCAGGGCCCGGTCCTAGGCCCTCAGAGGTACTGGGAGGCAGAGGAAGGCAGCAGGTCCGAACCCCCTTGCTTATGATGAGTGGCTTTTACACTGCAGTCTGCCCCAGGGAGCGGGGGCTTGGTGATGACTGGCAGTAGCCCAGACTGAGGCAAAGTGGGGATTAGAGGGTTGGGGGTTCCCCAGAGAGGGGAGACCCAGAGGCAGAGTGTGGGGGTATTGCCAGGGGGCAGCACTCCAGACAAAAGGGCACCGGGGTCCTGGGAGGGACACGGGGGCCAGCGGCAGCGGAACACCGGCCTGAAGAGGGCGCCCCAAGGCTATGAAAGAGCTAATTCCTGAGACGACCAGCAGGAGGCACCGCAGGGGTGAGTCCCACACGTGATAGCCATCTGCACAGCTAGTGAAACTATGTGGGCTGAAGTGCTATATGGAACTTTGAGCTCGCATTTGTCATCAGGGTGAATTCCATCCACTTTCTGCCATTCTTTCCCACTTCAAAGGCCCTGTGTCAAAACAACCTATCCTTCCAACCACGAAGAGCTACAGGTGGTCAAGGACCTCAGTGAGTCAGCCAGAAAGGTTTGTTTCAGAGCAACTCCAAACTGAAGCTGTTCTGCACTCTACTCCAGAAGCTGAGCTGCCTTTGAAACATTCCCAGCCTTTCCTGATTCACGAGTAATCGACCAGAGATATGTGCCAAACTCAAATCCCTCTACATGGCAGCATGATATGCTAGATCAACCAGGGCAGTTTCTTATCAGAAACTACTTCTTGTCAAGAAAAAGAAATCAGATTGAAACACAGGAAAAAGTAGTTGGCGACAAAAGTAGATTTTAAAGATGTAACCTTCAGAAATACAACCACAGATTTTCAGTGCAAATGTCTTACCAAGATATCAGTCTAGGGGTACGTCTTCACTACCCGCCGTATCGGCGGGTAGCAATCGATTTATCCGGGATCAATATATCGCGTCTCGTTAAGATGCAATATATCGATCCCCGAACGCGCTCACCATCGACTCCGGAACTCCACCAGAGAGAGCAGCGGTAGCGCAGTCGATGGGGGAGCCGCGGCCATTGATCCCGTGCCGTCTGGACCCAGGTAATTCGATCCAAGATACTTCGACTTCAGCTACGCTATTCGTGTAGCTGAAGTTGCATATCTTGGATCGATCCCCCCCCCCTAGTGTAGACCAGCCCTAGGACTAAGGCAGGCTTTAGCATGCCTGCCCTCTTTAAGATCCTCCATTATCTCAGTACTTATGAGAATGTTAGTCCCAGATCCTTCAGTGGCATCCACACAGGCTATGCCTCATGCTAGTGTGGAGTTCATTGCAGTCAGTGGGATTCTGCATAGATGTAAATGTCTTCCCACATAGATCCTACTGCAGGACCAGAGCAGTTTAGTTCATTTATGTGTATCCATGTCTGCTTGTAATACTACTATTTCTATACAAAACATCCTGGTTTTATTTCTGTCCTTCTATACTGGTGTAAATCAAGAGTAACTCTCTGGAATCAATGGAGTTACAAATGAAAATGAGGCCAGTATCAGACTTATATATATACACAAGTTCTCATAGTTGACCTGCATCATTCTCATTTGCTTTTTTTTTTTTTTACATTCAATTCTCTCCAATAAAATTTGTAGTTAATGATATAAAGCCAGGTCCATTAAGAGTGTTCCACTAAAGATAATTGAGTTTACAAACATTTACGTAAGCTGAGGATTGGGCCCACAAAGTCATTCCAAAATAATAGAATGAAATGACTTACCTGCACAACCCCCGTACAGGAATCCAAAAATATACATCCCTTTGGTTCCTTTGATATTTTCTCATCTTTGTAAAAATTCATAATGTATGAGTTATCCGACAACTGTGTCAACTGGAAGTAGCGCTTTTTGAATGACTACAGTGAAAACAAAAACACAATTGCTGTATTGCAAATTGTTTTCATAGATATTTTATTCAAAGGGTTTAAACAATACACCATTGCTAACTGCATTTCAACTGTGCTACTCTGCAGACAATAGTAACATCCACTTTACTATCATTTAATGCAATTTAAACAAACCTAATTTGAGAGGAACACAGCTAAATGACAATTGAAAACATCAGCACCCCTGCTGGGGGTGGGTGGGGGGAGAGTGTGGAGGATTAAAGCCAAACAGAACAAAGAAAGAATAACGATGTCCCCTTACCCGAACAGTAATGCTATTGTTTACAGTACTGTTAAAATTCCCTTTATAAAGCCAGCCAGACTTGAAAATTCCTGTTCCAAATCCTCCACCACCGCCGCCACCTTTTGAAGACGAGTGGGATGTGGTATCCTGTATAAAAGACATCATTAGTGTTGCATTGACTTGCTTTTGTGAGTTTAAGACCAAAGGGAATGATGCATTTGAATATCTGCTTTCTCTTAACAATACAATCTTCACATTCCTTTCAAAAATACTTTATTAATTCTCCTGCTGGGCACATGATGACATAAGAGACAAAGCTGTTTCATTAAATACAGAGTTAGCTAATATATGAAACATTCCACAGAAGATAACGAGACTCTGTTATCATTACTTATTTGATGTTAAACGGATAAATAACTCAGCAGTGGGGAAAAAAATCAATATGCTTACTTCATCTTTATCAACATCTTCATGATCAATTTCAAAGGAATGTGAAGGCAATTTCTCTGGTCTATATTCATTTCTAGGGTAGGAAAAAAAGCTTATTAATGTTCAACTTCATAACTGGAAGAGAGTATTCTTTTTAATGTGACTGCTCTTTTGAGGATGCTAACCTTCCAGGACACCTTCAAATATATCTAATGCTGGACTGCTCTGAGCTTCTGTAAAAAACATCTTTTGAAAGTGTAGTCCTTTTTATTACTAGTTGAAATCCCTCTGATCTTTGCTTTATAACCGGTAAGCACAGTCAGAACCCCAAATCATCAACGATTTTGGATCACTCCCCCCCAAAAAGAAGCATCCCAGCTAGAGCTGGTGGAAAGAGTGGATCAACTGCTTCACTACCATTTTTGTGAAAACAATTATCCTTCTTTCATCTGAAACGTTCAATATTTGATTTTTTTCACCATATCCAATCTCAATACATTTCCCTCCAAATATTATGACTTCTCCACACTCAAAGTTGCAATGATGCTGTGACGGGTTGGATCACAGAAACCCCCTTGGGAGCTGCCACTTGATGTGCAAAGACTACCTCTGCTCCTGTTTTCCCTGCCAGCTCAGGACTCCAGCACCCTGTCTTGCTGGGCCAGACACTCCCATCTGCTCCAACACAGACCCAGGGTCTGAATCACTTGCCCCAAAGCTGCAAGTTTACCTGAAAACAGCTCACAGAAGTGTGCTTGTCTTTAGCACTCAGATGCCCAACTCCCAATGGGGTCTAAACCCAAATAAATCCGTTTTTACCCTGCATAAGGCTTATGCAGGGCAAACTCATAAATTGTTCGCCCTCTATAACACTGATAGAGAGATATGTACAGTTGTTTGCTCCCCCAGGTATTAATACATACTCTGAGTAAATTACTAAATAAAAAGTGATTTTATTAAATACAGACAATAGGATTTAAGTGGTTCCAAGTAGTAACAGACAGAACAAAGTAAGTCACCAAGCAAAATAAAATAAAATGCGCAAATCTATGCCTAATCAAACTGAATACAGATAATCTCACCCTCAGAGATGCTTCGGTACGTTTTTTCTCAGACTGGACACCTTCCAGGCCTGGGCACAATTCTTTCCCCTGGTACAGCTCTTGTTGCAGCTCAGATGATAACTAGGGGACTCTTCATGATGGCTCCTCTCTCCCCTTTGTTCTGTTCCACCCCTTTATATATCTTTTGCATAAGGCGGGAACCCTTTGTCCCTCTGGGTTTCCACCCCCCCTCACTGGAAAAGCACCAGGTTAAAGATGGATTCCAGTTCAGGTGACATGATCACATGTCACTGCAAGACTTCATTGCCCACTTGCCAGCACACACATATACAGGAAGACTCACAGGTAAATACAGCCATCTGCGGATAATGGTCCTTGTTAATGGGAGTCATCAAGATTCCAAACCATCATTAATGGCCTACACTTTACATAATTACAATAGGCCCTCAAAGTCATATTTTATATTTCTAGTTTTAGATACAAGAGTGGTACATTTATACAAATCGGATGATCATACTCAGTAGATTATAAGCTTTGTAATGATACCTTACAAGAGACCTTTTGCATGAAGCATATCCCAGTTACGTTATATTCACTTATTACCATATTTTTCTAAAACTATCCCAGTTAAGTGAATATAATGTAACTGGGATAGTTTTAGAAAAATATGGTAATAAGTGAATATAATGTATTATCATGTTTTTATAAAACCATATAGACTGCACAATGTCACAGATGCTTCATGTATTTGCCTTTAGAATGTGGAAGGTGCTCAGACATCTTATTGATGAGTGCCATGAAAGAATTCAGTTCTCTAAGTGGCTAAGCACTCTGGCTCTGATCAGGCTAATCACTTATGCATGCACTTAACTACGCACATGAGTTGTCCCACTGAGAGCCAGATAACTCAGCACCTTGCAGGATCAAGCCCTAAATAACAGTCAGCCAACCACACAATACACCTTGATGGATGTTTTAAATTCGAAAACAAAGTAATTTAAATGTTTGTTGCCAGCAAATGGACACATTTAAATTGTTTTAAACTTGTCCAAGGTTAAAGGTCATCACCTTGGAAACCTCTTTGACCATTAAGAGGCAAGCTATTAAAATGGTCACATCAAGCCACATTATTAGTATAAAGAAAAATGTATTTATAGAATCCACACTATTACCGAGCCATTTAAACCCCTCTACAAAATACTAAACATGGAACTTGAAACAGACTTAAAAACAAACAAACAAGCCAACAATAATCAAAATATTAAAAGAACCAAACTCAAGTAAAAGTTCAGGAATAACATATCCATTAGTTATTTCCTTCCCTAAGGTCCTCAGCCTGGGCTAACTTTACCCCCAAACATATATCTCATATCCCTGCCTCACATAACTTGAAAGACTTTTTGCAATAACTGTAGTGCAATTTTTAAGCATGGTCTGTGAAGGAAAATAAAAGAAACAAAACAATTTGCTGCTTGTTTTTAACATTAGCAAACCAGTTCCTGTCGAGGTTAGAATGGCCTATTATAAATGAAGTGGTAACGTCACAAAAGCCAAGAGAGTGAAAGTGGAGCAACTGAGACAGTAAGAGTGTTCTTTAATCAGACTGTTTAAAACTCTTTTTTTTCACACCTATGTGACTTCATTGACTAATTAACACTTTGAATAAAGATTTAACACCTGTCAAATAAGGTGTTAGTATTCTGAATAAACATCCCGGAGATCTCCAGGATGTTATCCATTCTAATCAGGGAAGACCAGATTCAACCTTCCTAATATTTCTAAAGTAACAATCACGCTCTAAAACCAAAATAAACAAAGCTTTCAAGCTTTTGTACATTATAAAGCTGGGTGGGGGAAGAGGAAAGCAGAAGCCTAATTTTTTTCAAATGCCTTGCAGGTCTCTTAAGAAATACTCTCAGCACCTTATTAAACAACTCCCACTCTTACTCACAGGAGTTCTGAGTTTAATATGCTGTTCAGTCCTGAAAATTTACCATTAGATGTTCTTAGAGAAATATGGGTACCAAATTGACTAAAGAGCTTTCTCAAATGCAAATGGCTAGCAAGATTCAGACACATTGGTTCTGGCTAATACATAGTCCCTTTAGAATCTGATGTACTAACAGGACAGGTTATTTCCTTATTGAACTAAGTAATAATTATTTGATTTTTTTCTTTTGAGAAAGAACCAAGAGATCAAAAGGATTCCTGTACTGTTACATCTTTAGATAAAATTCTTAAGCTTCTGCCCAACTCCTACAGTCGACAGTGGAGTTAGGCAAGGGGCATGTCAGTTGCTGTGGCCCTGCTTGTTATTGTGGAACAGGGTGTGTGTACAGCAGGAGTAACTGCTGCTGTGAGTGAGCTTTCCCCAACTCTTCGGGAAGCATTATGAATGCTCCTGCCAACGCAGGCCAGCCCTGAGTGGATGCAAAGGCTATGCCACGCTAGTACCATCTAACCCAAAGAAGGTAGGGCCCTGCTCCCCTCTGCACCAGATAGCAAAGTCAGTAACATGTTTCCTCCATGCTCACTAAGAAAAAAAGCATAATAGAGCAGAATATGCACAGTTGTGCAAAAAGAGGTAGTGAGGGAACAGACATCAAAGCACCATACAGTTTAGCTGGTGGAAAGATCTGCAAAAAGCCTCAAAGAAGGAACATATCCAGAGGAAAATTAGTGTTTTACATAATGTCATTTCATACTCAGGGGGCTGAATTAATCCCCAGTGTAACATATTGAATTTAGTGGAAGTTCACTAGGGATGAATTTGCCCCAAGTTTCTACTCCAGGCATTGTATCACCAAATTGCAACCACTTCCCAGTAGAAAGTGCTATTTTCAGAACAGGGAAGTTTTCAGCCTGTTGAAAAGTGCTTCCCTATGCAGCTATCGATCTATATCATGCATGAGTGTGTGAAATGACATAAACTGCCCTGAGGGAAGTGAGGACCTCATAGAAGAACTGGTTGTAGGGGACAACTTTGATTCGAGTGATCATGAGCTAATTCAGTTTAAATTATATAATTAATGGAGATATCCCATCTCCTAGAATTGGAAGGGACCTTGAAAGGTCATTGAGTCCAGCCCCCTGCCTTCACTAGCAGGACCAAGTACTGATTTTGCCCCAGATCCTAAGCGGCCCCCTTAAGGATTGAACTCACAACCCTGAGTTTAGCAGGCCAATGCTCAAACCACTAAGCTAGCCCTCCCCTTAAAAGGTCATTGAGTCCAGCCCCCTGCCTTCACTAGCAGGACCAAGTACTGATTTTGCCCTAGATCCCTAAGTGGCCCCCTCAAGGATTGAACTCGCAACGCTGGGTTTAGCAGACCAATGCTCAAACCACTGAGCTATCCCTCCCTGCTAAATTAAACGAAAGGATAAACAAAAACAGATCTACAAATAGGGTCCTTGATTTCAAAAAGGCAAACTTAAGGGAATTAGTTAGGAAAGTGGACTGGACTGAAGAACTAAAGGATCTGAATGTGGAGGAGGCTTGGAATTACTAAAGTCAAAGTTGCAGAAACTATCTGAAGCCTGCGTCCCAAGCAAAGGGAAAAAAAATGTAGGGAAGAGTTGCAGACCAACCTGGATGAGCAAGTATCTCAAACAGGTGATTAAGAGAAAGCAGAAAGCCTACAAGGAATGGAAGATGGGATGAATCAGCAAGGAAAACTACCTCTTGAGCTCAGAAAGTGTAGGGAAAAAGCCAAGCAGAGTTGGACCTTGCAAAGGAAATTAAAACCAATAGTAAAAGGTTCTGTAAACAACAAGAAACCAAGGGAAAAAGAGGGATCACTAAACACTGAGGAAGGGGTGGACATTAAAGATAATCTAGGCATGATCCAACACCTAAACAAATACTTTGCCTCAATTTTTAATAAGGGTAATGAGGGGCTAAGGCAGAGGTGGGCAAACTACAGCCTGCGGGCCACATCCGGCCCGCGAGACCCTCCTGCCTGGCCCCTGAGCTCCTGGCCTGGTAGGCTCGCCCCTGGCCCCTCCCCTGCTGTTTCCCCTTCCCTGCAGTCTCAGTGCACCGCGCCGCTGGCACAATGCTCTGATGGCGGGGCTGCAAGCTCCCGGGGCAGCACAGCTGCACCCGGTGCTGTGTGCCTGGCTCCAGCCGGGCGGCACGGCTGCCTGTCTCGGTACTCTGGAAGGCGCAGCTGTAGCTCCAGGCAGCCTGGTAAGGGGGCAGGGAGCAGGGGGGGTTGGATAGAGGGCAGGGGAGATCGGGGTGGTGATCAGGGGGCAGGGCGGTCAGAGGGCAGGGGTCCCGGGGAGGCAGTTAGAAAGGAGAGGAGGAGTTCGATGAGGCGGCGGGGGGCAGTTTGGGGTTGGGAGGACAGAGAGCTGGGGGGTGGATGGGGCAGGAGTCCTGGGGAGGCCGTCATCCCGGGGGAGGGGGCTAGGGAACGGTGGGGTTGGAGGGGCAGGAGTCCCGGGGGGGCCATCAGAGGGCGAGAAGCAGGGGGGGTAGGATAGAGGGCGGGGTCTGGGCCACACCTGGCTGTTTGGGGAGGCACAGCCTCCCCTAACAGGCCCTCCATACAATTTCGGAAACCCAATGCGGCCCTCAGGCCAAAAAGTTTGCCCGTCCCTGGGCTAAGGGATAGTGACAGGGTAGCTAATAGATATGAGGAAGTAGAAATTACCACATCCAAGATGGAAGCCAAACTCAAACATGGAGGGCCTGGATCTCCATCCAAATATATTAAAGGAACTGGCACATGAAATTGCAAACCCAATAGCAAGAAGTTTACTTAATCTGTAAACTTTGGGGCCATACCCTATGACTCGAGAATTGTTAATATAGTTCCTATTTTGAAGAAAGGGGGGGCTGGGGAAGTGTCAGGCTGTAAGGAAGTTACTAGTGCAGTTCCTCAGGGATTGGTTTTGGGACCAATCTTATTTAACATATTAATGACCTTGGCACAAAAAGTGGGAGCGTGCTTGTAGCGGGGTGAACACCCGCTCCAGCCCGAAAGGGGTTGCAAAAGCCCTGCAGAGGGCTGGGGCTGGGCAAGGGAGTAAAACCCCGGCTGATTGGGGGGAAGTGGCTGCGGCTGGGGCCATGCCCCAAACTAAGCCACTGGGCCTTATAAGAAGGCCAGGGAAGCCAGAGGGGGCAGTCTCACTCTGACTTGAGAGGGAGACAGGCCTGGCTGCTGGGGAACTCACCCAGGGGACCTAGAGGGAGACAGGCCTGGCTGCTGGGGGAACTCATCCAGGGGACCTAGAGGGAGGCAGGGCTGGGGAAAGGCCTTAGGAGCTGAGAAGCCCTAGGCCAGCAACTCCCCAGGCTGCAGGGCCTAGTTCTAGGCCTCCTAGGTATTGGGTTTGCAGAGGGGCAGCCAGTTCAAACCCCTTGTTGCCTGTGATGATCGGTTGATAGACTGCAGTCCGCCCCAGGGCGCGGGGCTAAACAGAGACTGGCAGTAGCCACAACTGAGGCGACGTGGGGATAGGGGGTGGGGGTTCCCCTGGGGTGGGGAAACCCAGTAGGACTGTGGGGTACTGCAGGAGGCAGAACCCTGAGATAAGGGCACTGGGGTCCTGGGAGAGACACGGGGGCCAACGGCAAGTGGATCACCAGCCTGCAGAGGGCGCTCCTGGGTCGAAGAGCTAATTCCCAAGGACGACCAGCAGGAGGCGCTGCAGGGGTGAGTCCTGCGTTGCTACAGTGCTAATAAAATTTGCGCATGGCACAATGTTGCGAGGTATTGCCAATAAGGAGGATTACCAAAATACCATACAAGAAGATCTGGATGAGCTTGAAAACAGGAGTAATAGAAATGGGATGAAATTTAATAGTGCAAAATCATGCACTTAGGGACAAATAACAAGAATTTTGCTATAAGCTAGGGACGTATCAGTTGGAAGTGACAGAGCAGGAGAAAGACCTGGGTGTACTGGTCGATCACAGGAGGAATGAGAGGCACCAATGTGATGCGGTCATAAAAAAGGCTAATGCAATCTTCAGATGCATCAGGAGAGACAGGGAAGTGTTAGTACCCATTATATACTCCTGAGGGATTTCTGTGCCAAAAAATTAAAATTCTGCACACAATATTTTAAAATGCTGCAAATTTTGTCAATAAATAAATGTGGAAGCTCCAGCATGGCAGTGGGGAACACAGGCCACTAGTTGCATTGAGGTAGAAGATCACCCTGCAGCCCCACCCCCGGGACACAGACTCGGCAGTGAGGCTGCACCCGACCCTGACACAGTGCAAGGGCCAGGCCTGCCCCAGAAACACCCTGGGGTCCCGCCCCTCCATGCCAGGCACACCAGGTGTGAGCAGGCAGGCTCAGCCTGGCAGAATCCAAGTGTGGAGGGGATCCAAATGTGGGGGTGAGCGGGTTCTGTGTGGGACTATCTCACTGCGGGTGGCTTGTTGGGGGGGTCTGGTGTGAGGGGTATTTGGATGCACAGGGGCTAGCTGGGGGGTTCCAGGTGTGGGGGAAATGGGACTCTGCAGGGGGGTCCAGGTGAAGGTGTTTGGGGCTCAGCGGGGGGGAGTCTGTGTGTGTAGGGCTCGAGGGGAGCAGGTGCTGGGGGAGTGGGCCTTATTGGGATGGGGATGGAGGTGCAGCTGGTTGGGGGTCTGGGTGTAAATGCTTAGGGTAAATGCAGAGTGCAGTGTGATGGGAGCTCTGTGAAAAACGCTCAAAAAACTATGGCTGATGGCTAAATGTGAGACAACTTGAGGCCACCCTTATTGTTAACATAGAGGTGCAGCCTACAAGGGTCACAGTATGCGATGCTCTAACATGATATAAGCAGATGCTGTTCAGATCAAGTTGGAGCAATGTTTGGCATGATGTTTTGTGGTTTGTACCTCTGTACTAAAAACAAAACAAAAAAAGTCTGTCTGCAATTGGCCTCATTCGGTGCAAATTAGGTTAATTCTCTTGTCCAAATGCCAGTGGAGCTATCAGTCGGGCAATGTTTGGACAGAGCTGATGTAAATTTTCTTTAGAGATTCAAAAGACTGTACACTGAAATCTCTCTCAGTCATTATACTCTGTAATATAAGCAAAATGTTCTGGTTTTGACAATAACCCATTATAAGGAAACAAGACAAGAAGACCCCATAATATCCCAGGTGGATGTGAAAAATAGAGAACTGCTGCAAGCAGTGTCAATAGACTAACACAACTCCATGGAAGACAATGTACATACTGAGTACAAATTACTTTCATGCAGAATAATGCAAACTCCATATAAGAAACAGTTCAGCATGTTGCACATTTCATAAGAGGGACAGTACTTGCAAACTTGGACTGCAAAATGTTGCATTTTCAATTTCCTCTCCTGAGCGGACAGACCATCATACAAGCTGTCCCGCAGAGTAAAAAGTTACCTAAACACAACTACATCTAAGAACTCTAATTAGTGTCACTCTTCTCCTTTGCCTCTAGGATTAACCCACTCTCTGTTCATAGTAAGATTAATAAACAAGAGAGGAATTGTGGATACAAAGGAAGGCTTATAGTACATGACTTTGTGTGCATAGCATCTGAAGAAGACTGTAAGAGACAATCTTAACATTGCTACAAGAATGGATTCAGTTTGTACCACCTCTCATCCTTAATCCAATCAGTGTCCAGAGAATCAATTCCTGTTTGCTATTTCTTGCTCTTTTTACAATCTTTTTTACAAGAATGCAGTATCACAATTTTAATGCCTCAAATTCTGTGAAAGATGGAGTTAATGTTCATTTCAGTATTCTGTAATTTAATTTGTTGCTCACTATAATGATCCCTAATTTAAAGCATAAGCTGCTTGTTGGGAAAACGTGGTATTGGGAACAACTGCACATTGTATTATACCTAGAAGATGAAGAATTTGGCCCAAAGACTTTCATTTCTTATCCCTGAAGTCAAGGAGCATGATTGTCCTCTCATTTTACATCACTTTTACACTGTTCTTACTCCATTGACCTCAACAGAAATACTCCTGATTTCCATCAGTGTAAATGAGAAGAGAATCATGCCCAATGGCTGCAGAATGTCAATTTGTTTTATGAGAATGGTTATAATGAAATCATGAATTTATTTTGTAACCTACATCTCATGGAAAAGTTCACTATTCACGCAATGACCAAATATTGAAAAAGTAGAAGACCACTGGAAGCATGCAAAGTGTTTGTGTGTGTGCACATACACTCATTATATGTATTGGGCCAGATTTTGAGCTCATTTACTGTGGTGTAAATCCAGAGTAACTAAATAATCAATGAAGTAACTTCAGTTTTACAGCACTGTAACTGACAGGAGAATTAGGCCCAGGTAAAATAGTTATGACATTTATGTTTTTTTTAATAACAGTAAAAAGCCAGATTTGTCTGTACTAATCAGTACTTTGTATATACAAATATTAATAATACAAGAGTAGTCATTTGATTTGAATTTACATTAAAAGTGGTTAGTAGATATGTGAAGTTGTTTGCTCAGGATTCTTTTTCTTGTTTTTTTTTTTTTTTTTTAAATGTGGCCCAGTATGTTTATGGTAAAACAAATAGGGAGCAGGTACAGGATGGGGAAAAGTGGAAATATTTACATGACTCAGCGAAACAGTACCAAACTGGGAGAAGAAAATGGAGAACTAGTGAAGTTCTTACTGTGGTAAATGTCGAAAATCTCCTGAATACTTTTCATATTTGTAGGTCACAACATGCCACTGAGAATTGTAATATTTACAAGCCTAAAAAGAAAGGAAAGAAATAGATTATTTCAACTTATTCACACTCAGGGAAGGATCCAGAACAAAGAAACAACTCCAGCAGAAGCACATATTCGTTTGTTTAATAGCTTGGTACTGCTATTCTTAAAGGAAAATCAATTTCATATTTCTTAGAGTTTTAAAGCACTATTTCCCATTTAAATCAAAGGTGATGTTTTTTAATTCACTCGTGCGCAGAAGCAACCTAAAGTAGATTACTGACTTCATCCTCCTGCATCATGGAAGGATTTATTACTATATCACCTTGATAGATTGGTACTTCTGTGTCCCTGAATATCTCCACTGACATAAATTATGTCTTCCCTTTGCACCATGCTTCATTACCTAACTTCCACAGTAACTAGACTTAACCTACTACCTAACAAATTCTCCCTGCTACAGTTTAGGTCCATTACTTCTTGTTCTTTCCTCAAGGACTGATCCTTATCCTCTTTATAACATCCCATAATGTATTTCTGGACAGTTATGTCTCACCTGAGTTATATTTTTTCATACTGAATTTCTCCGGTTCTCTTAACTTCCCCTCATAGTTCTTATTTTTTAAACCTTTTGTCAGTTTTGTGACTCTCTTCTGAGCTCTCTTTAATATGTTCATGTCTCTTTTGAAATGTGGTGCCCAAAGCTGAATGCAAGTTGTATTTGAGGTCTATTCTGTGTCAAGTAGAACAGAATTACTGTATTGCTCATTTTTATAGAAAATTATTAATGTGGTAAGTATGGCATGATGTCCTTAGTTGCAACAATATAACATTGTTGAGTCATATTTAATTTATAACCTACTATCATGTTACTCATTTTAACAAAGATTCAAATTGCCAAGGCAAGAAAATATTGGTGGAGAGGAACAAGAAATCTGTATGTTTATTGGTAGCCTATAAAGTTGCAACAAGGAGAATGGAGCAGATTATATCATAGACTTCTGGAAATTGTGGTTCTAAAGCACACTGTAGGGATTAATAATTGTTTAGTATGTTAAAAAAATTACCCCACTATTCTGTCATCATGAGCAAGCTTGGTATCTTAGTCAATTTATTAGAGTTAAATGGTATGTTAATGGACCCATGCTACTGGCTCCTTGACCACAAGACCATTCTTCCTCTTCTACAGTTACTAGCATCTGCAGATAAAATAGTTATGGCATTTATGTTTTTTAATCATAGAAAAAAAGATTTTGGCTGTACTAATAACTAAGACCCTGATCCTGCAAAGCACTTCAGCACAAGTTTAACTTACCCACTGAACCTTCTAATTATGTCTGTTTATCTGGTTATCGTCCTGCTCTCCTTATTCTGATCTATCTGTCAAGCTCAACGGGACTACTCACATGCATAAAGTTAAGCAGAAGTGTTTGCAGGGTCAGCCACCAAGAGTTGGCCTTTGGGGCCCATAAAGCCCAGCACCAACAGTCCTCTTGTTTGGGGGGCAAGAAGAACTGGACCTATTTATAGTGAGGATACCTATGCTATCCAGATACTGATAGGTTATGACTCCCATCATTATAGTATCGGCATGCCCTCCGAGTACTTAAAAAGACAAACAACAGGGCTGCCATCTGCATCACTAGACTCTGTAACTGCAGGAGTGGCGGCACAGTGGAGATCGCTTAATACAGGCAGCTGACATAATGGGACTTAGACCTTGCCCTCCGTGCACACCCCTTCAACAGCAGCAGCGGCCCCCTTAGGTGGGACAAGAGAAAACATAGGGAGAAGAGAAAGAGGGAGGGAGGGAGGGAGACCCATCCGTGGCAGGGCATGGAGATGAAAGGGGACCACAGGAAGGAGACAGTATGAGGTGGAGGGACATTTCAGAGTGGGGAGAGGGAGGAGAATGGGTCTCATGGAAAACAGAGGGATGGAGATGAGAGAGAGAACTGAATAAGAGAGAGAGCAAAGGGGCAGGGGAACAGAGAATGCAGGGAGTAAAAGCTTGACAGAATGAATTAGGAGAAAATGGACAATAAAAAGACCAGTGAGACTAAACCCCACTCCAAGGAATGTTCCCGCCAGGACCTCTCCACAGCCAGTCCTCGCTTTACAGTGGTGTCACTAAGTGTGGAGCCTTCTCTACTCACGGACAGGGAGGGGAGCAGTCAGGCTTTGGCCATTAATATGGAAAATAATATCACCCTTCTGGAGTGAGGTCTGATGATCTTCTAAATTGTGGGTGGTATTTTCAAAAGGGCTCAGCATTGGCCTAAACTACTCCCACTGAAGTCAATAATAAAACTTCTTAGCAGATGTGACCACAAATAAAAACAAAAACAAAAAAAAACCCCACAAGCCAGGGACAGGATCATTTTAAATTCCTTTTTTTTCCCATTCTTTTTTTGATTTTACAGTATATGCAGGGCCGGCTCCAGGCACCAGCTTAACAAGCAGGTGTTTGGGGCGGCCAAGGGAGAGGGGCAGCACCTGCGGCAGTTCGGGGGCGGCAGGTCCCTCGCTCCCTCTAGGAGCGAAGGACCTGCCGCCGAACTGCTGCCGACGATCGCGGCTTTTTTTTTTTTTGCTTGGGGCGGTAGAAATGCTGGAGCCGGCCCTGGGTATATGAAACAAAATTACAAGGAAACAGCTACAAATTCATAAGCTGTCCCCCCCACATAAACGCTGAATGAAATATAACAACATATGACATCCAAATCGCTACAGTAATAGATGCATTCTGAATGCACAGGGCGAAATTCAGTTCTGATTTACACCCCACTGAATTCAACGGTGCTGCACGAAAAAGTGCGAGAAAATGTGACCAGATCATACAGGCAGATAGGATCATATATTATGGCTTAAATGATAAACAGACAGACTAATGCAATCATTGACTTTAAATGGTAACGGAGGACGCTCAGCACCTTGTAGGATCACAGCCCAAACCTGAATATGGCACACTGATATCAATGGGAATTTTACCATGGACTCCAATGACAGCAAAATCGAGCCCTTTCTGCAGATTCACAGGTGGACAGAAACAAACTCACCATTGTATTTCTGTGGTTTAAGCTTTAGTTAAGTCAGTCTGGTGACCATCTGGGACATAGTAAATAAATATTTGCATAGGAGCAATGTATATACTGTATTATATGAGTCAGTGAAAAAGATCATTCAGTGAATTGGATCAGAATAAGTGTAGACCCGCTAATTCATACTTCATACATTGTCTATTTGAGACACAAAAAGAAACTGAATCCTTTAAAGAAAGGACTGATTTTTCCTGTCCTACTTTCATTACTGATTAGAATACGTAAAAGATGCAATCAATTCATGTAAAAGGGATTCAACACAGGAGTTTTTTTGTTAACATTATAGGCTCTTTACTGATGTGTTTAAAAATAGCCATGAACAATATATAGAGCAGACCACAATGTTTTAACTTATTAAATATAAAGGTTTCTTGTGCTTCTTCAAGAAGAGACTAATCAAAATTAAAATATAAAGGAACAAAAAGCACATTCAAGTAACATCCAGAGAAATCACAGAGGCAAGTACATTTAGAGCAATGGCTACTCCTTATCTCTAGCTAGCCTGTTGTGGTTAAGAATTGCAGTCTGTTATAAACCAGAATGGGTTGAACATTTGCCAAATGAACATTTTTCCACCAGAAAATACCAAAACATTTGTATTGATTTCATCAACATCTTTGATGGGAAATTATTGAATTATGGAGGGAAACACACAAGATGCTGTTGATCAGAAGGATGGAACTCTTCCGCAGGAACAGCTGTGGCCCTCAGGCCAGATACAGCTGCCTCCTAACCTTGATGGAGAGTCATTCCAGAGGTATGTTTAGCCCTAGTAGGGTGAGGAGGAGATTAATTATGGGATGGGGAAGGGTTGGCACTCATTTGCATCAGCTCTCTTGTTCCATCCACCCGCTGTCAGCCCTGCAGGCTTTGAAGCCTTCCCCCTGCCCTTTCCTCGCTGGCCAGACTTTCCCCTAGAGAAATCATCCTGCAAAAACTCAGCACCTGCAGCTTTCCAGTGTTTGTGTTGGTGGTGACAGTGTGATGGCTGCCACAGCAAAAGGGGCACTTCATAGGGTAGCCATGTTACAGGTTTGCTCTGCAATGCAAATTAACATTTTGAAAAAAGGAAAATGAAATAAGAGAAGCGGAACTGAAGAGAGTACCTAGAAACCCCTTGAAAATGGCCAGAGTTCCCCTTTCTTTCACAGTTTACATTCTCTTTAAGATCTCTGCAAGCTTGGGGAAGGAACTTATATAATCATTCGTTTATTATTAACAACAACAACGTGGAATGATCTAGCAGTTTTTGAATCCTAAAGTACCTTACACACGTATTAGATGGATAAAGGATTATGTAACTTCATTCACCACTTAAATTCTGCCATCCCTGAAGTGGAAAGCAGCAGCTATTAAAACAGTGAAGGGCAACACTAAGGCTAGGTCTACACTACGCGCCTGAATCGGCGGGTAGAAATTGATCTCTCGGGGATCGAATTATCGCGTCTCGTTGGGACGCGACAATTGATCCCCGAATCGACGCTCTTACTCCACCAGCGGAGGTGGGAGTAAGCGCCGTCGACTGAGAGCTGCGGAGGTCGATTTTGCCGCCGTCCTCACAGGGGGGTAAGTTGGCTCCGATACGTCGAATTCAGCTACGCTATTCGCGTAGCTGAATTTGCGTATCTTAAATCGACACCCCCCCCCCGTAGTGAAGACCTGCCCTAAGAAAGGGTTTTAAAACCGGAAGCAAAGAACATCATACTTAAGGGAAACTACACAGGGATTTTGGAAGGCAGAATTTACTAGCATTAACTAGTTTGGAATTTAGCCAGCACTCTGAGGTTACTCCCTCTACTCATATGAAAAGCATGATGCCATCTCTATTGGCCAAAAGCCATCAGGAGAACCTCAGTTTTACAACTCTCCAATTTCATACAGCTCATATATAAAATAAAAATTAGTGATTGAGAATCCTAGATTTTACCAAACCTAAAAATTAAAATATGCAATTAATTCACAACATTTTAATAAACTGTTTACTTCTCCAAGTACTGTAAATGTAGGCTGTAAGAGAGCCTCAGTGCATTGGTGGCGGTGTACTGATACACTACTTCTTTAAAACATTGAAAACACTCAGCTTTTGAACCTGAAAAAATCTTCAGCACGATGGATAATAAAGCCTTTGATTTATTTTAGATGGTGACACTTACCAACTTAAGGTTCTGTTTTAATTTGACTTTGAAATTTAAAAGAACGAAATGAGTGTGCAGTGTATATAGTGGACAAAATAGCCTGAGTAATTGACTGCACTGATATAGAACCCCTTTCAATAATTATAAAGAGAGTAGTTGTAAAGCTGTTACTTCTTTAGTGTTAAGATTAATAAAGCTCTTGGTTTAATAACCGAAAACATTTACAAGTCCTATGGAGATATGGTACAATACCGTGAATACAGAAATCCTCCACGGTGAACGACTTGGGTACTAAAGGACAACTGAATATTACCCCATTTTTGCAGTTGGGAAGCCTATATTGCCAGACTAAAAGGACTACTCATAATATTCTTACTACAGTAGGTATGTTGAAATAAACCACATAAATCTACTACATGAAATTTCAATATTAAGGATATAATAGTTATTATTACTTCACTTTGATATACTGCCTTTCATCTGAATGGATCTCAAAGCACTTTAAAGAGGATTTTTATGGATTGTAAGGCTAATTACAGTCATAGTTAAAATGTAGCCACTTCTGAGGTGGAAGAAGAAAGCTATTTTGACCCAACAACTCTACAAAACAAGCTTGATTTTCTGTTACCTTTCAGAATTAGTGACATCTGTGCGGAGTGTAAAATGTTGCCATTCTGACATGGCAGCCCTCTGCACATTCACTAGACAGGGGTAAATGACTCCACAAGGTACAAGACAACGGAGAATTGAACCCTTTATGTTTGTTTTAGGAGAAGTATCACCTGTAATCCAGTGGTATTTTTATACTCTGTGGTTTATTTACCCAAAATTCCTTTATTCAAATATGCTGGTTAGATTTTACAGATGTCACTTGCAAGGTGTTATCAGCCACTGTGTCCTGTTAATACTTAGTTTCCAGTTCTCTTATGAATCTCGTTTGTCACAGAGTTATAAAGGAATAACTGGACAAAAAACTGCATTTGGAAGAAATTAAGGATAGCTTTTAATGTTACAGCTGTGCTGGGGTGAAGAGCTGGCAGGAGCTGGAGGTATTCTGGCTGCCAGAGGTATTCTGGCTGAACCAAAGCCCATTGAAGAAGTCTTTCCATTGACTTTAACGGGCTCTGGATCAGGCCCTTAGTGCTGAAGAAGGCAGCATGCTTCTGGGAATGTTGGGGAAGTACAGAGTAGAGCAGCTACTGCTATAGGCATTTAAAAGGTGCAACATGTGCACCATCCACTTTGGTAAGACCTGGATGGGGCCAGAGCTCAGCTCCTGTCTTTGGGGAGTTCAGTGTGACTGGCAAAAGATCTCCTTAGGCTCTGGGTCCTGATCCAATGTCCCCTGAAGTTCCTTGGAGCCTCTCCACTGGTTTCTATGGGCAAAGGATTCAGACCCAAGGTGCACAAGGATTGGGAGTGCTGCTACCCATTGCAAAGACTCATAAGCTGGAGAAGCTCAACCCACTTCCTCACCAACTTGCACCATCTTCCTTCCTCCCTTGCACATGATTCAGAACCAGCCACATAATTTCCCTTATCAGACAGGTGGTCAGCTCCAGCACAAACACTCCTCCCAAAATATAACAAGGTGATAGCTATCATTTTTAGAGAGAATATTGGTGTCACGTTTTGTGGCACCTATATTGTGGCAGACAAGCTGCAGGGGAGTCATAACAGATTTAAAAGTAGCCATCCTTCAACAAAAAAACTTCAAAAACAGACTTCAAAGAGAGAGCAGAGCTACAATTCATTTGCAAATTTAACATTTAATTTAGGCTTGAATAGGGATTGAGAGTGGCTGGTTCACTACAAAAGCAATTTTCCCTCTCTTGGTATTGACACCTCCTCATCAATTATTGGCAATGGATCACATCCACCCTGACTGAATTGGCCTTGTAAACACTGGTTCTCCACTTGTAAGGTAACTCCCTTCTCTTCATGTGTCAATATATTTATGCCTGCTTCTGTAATTTTCACTCCATGCATCTGAAGAAGTGGGGTTTTTTACCCATGAAAGCTTATGCCCAAATAAATCTGTTAGTCTTTAAGGTAGGGTTACCATACGTCCGGTTTTTCCCGGACATGTCCGGCTTTTTGGTAATCAAACCCCCGTCCGGGGGGAATTGCCAAAAAGCCGAACATGTCCGGGAAAATGCCGGCCGGGCACTTCCCCTCCCGCAGCTGCTCTGCTCCTCCCCTGACTCTTTGGCTCTGTTTAAGAGCCGAGCTGCCTGAGCGCTATGGGCTTCAGGCAGCCCCCTTGCCTCCGGACCCCAGCCGCCGGCCGGGCACTTCCCC